ACAAACTACGTAAAAACGTAAGTAAATAACTCACTAAACTTTAACTGAACATTCGCTTTGAAAATAAATGTATTTATATTTGTATCAAGCCTATAATCGCTCAACGAAAAAGCAACTCGGAAAACGCGTTTCGCCGCGGTTCTGTATCATGGCGGCAAGAGTCGACGCAGGTCACGTAATGAGCACAGCTACATACATCATATCAGGAGCTAATAATGACAAATTTGTCATTATTAGCTCTTGATCATATCTATGAGCCTATGCAGACTTCATACCTTTCAGCGCTTGGCAACACCGCATGGCAACAAGAGACGCGTCCCAAATTAACATCGACGCAGAGCGGCAAAAGTAAACGCTGTTTGAAACATTTGACCCGACACTTTCACTTTGTAGTTTAAAAGCTTTGAATGAACGTATTCCTGAGCAATTTTTTTTATCTATCACAAATATATATATAGACAAGTACAAACGTACAATGTTAAAATAATAAATTTTTGCCTGATTTTATGTTTGCCGCTGGAAATTTCGAGACAAGACACCTAAGACGCGGAACTAGAGAATGGGAAGAGAAACATAAAGAGAAAAAAAGAGATGGAGAGAAAGCGATAGTAGAAAGAGAATGAGAGAGAGAGGGGGGACGGAGAAAGAGAGAGAGAGAGAGAAAGAGAGAGGGGAGAGAAAGCGAGAGAGAGAAAGAGAGAGGGGAGAGAAAGCGAGAGAGAGAGAAAGAGAGAGAGAGAGAAAAAAAGAGAGAGAAGTGTCGTGGTGAGCAAGGCGAGCAAGAAGAGAAAACATAATGCTCAGTTTTCCCCGAGGACGTACTTGCATGCAACATTAATACGATCACCCGTAGTCTCCCAGCAGAAAATTGCCGTTAACTGAATAGCATGCGATACTAGACACAAACAAGCTAATGGGAAGAATATAGACTTTAACCGCTCAACATTAATCAGTTAGAATTTTCGCTGTATTCAACTCACGACTCCCCGATTGCTCATAATAGAGAGTTTGTTACGAAAACGAAATTCGAAAGGAGTAGGCGCCTGTTCCGTGTAACGATTTCTCTCGTTTGTCTCGCTGTCACTGCTTCTCGTCGCTGCTCCATACGTGCCTACAATATAGTCATTATTCCCCACACACACGCACGCATTCACGCACACGCATGCACACACGCGCATGCACACACGCGCGCACATACGCACGCACGCACGCACGCACATACGCACGCACGCACGCACGCATTCACGCACCGCACACGCGCAAGCACATAACGCACGCAACGCACGAAACAACGCACGCATGCACGCAACCGCAACACGCATGCAACACACGCGACGACACACCATACGACACGCACGCATGCACCGCACCCGTACACGCATGCACCACACGGCGCGCACATACGCACGGCCGCACGCCACGCATCTCCACCGCACCCCGCACACGCATGCACACACGGCCACGAGCGCACACACACAGAACACAGACCACACTGCCACAGTACAACACACACGCGCGCATGCACGCACGCATGGCCATGCACCACACACACACATGCACACACAATCGAGAACACACGGACGCACGCGCGCGCGCGCACAACACACACACCCACACCGCGCGCGCGACACACCACACACACACCACACACACACACACGACACACGCACACGCACGCACGCCACGCACACCACACCATACACACCACTCACACCGCACTGATCAGCAAAGCGCGCGGAACCAATAGATAGAGAGGACATATAGCATTCTTCTGTATTCTATATCTCTGCGCGAACGCATTATGCGCAGCATTGCTCCACCTTCCTATTTCCATTCTTCTTGTTGTTCCGTTGCCTTACTTATTAGTAAACAGCAAGTGACGCACTGACCGTCGGTTGCGCAGCTCTTCGTTCCTTGCGGGGGTGTGATCGGTGTCACGCATGATTCCCGGGCGTTATCCGGCTGTCACACCAGCGCCAACAACATGTGATCACCTTAAATCGGATGTGTGGCGATCTCGCCTGTCACAGTTGGTAGGCTCTAAGCATTAGCGTTAGGGTCATTGAATAACCCGCTCTTATAACCGTTACCATCACACGACAAACAAAGTGATCACTTAAGTCTATTTCTATACATGCACATCTGAGTCAACTGATCATAATTAGTCACAGTAACCTTATAAGCTTTCAGATTGCACAGAATAACGCTCTTTTAGGAGACCGCGACAGTAGCTCTACTAGTCTATTAGGGATGCTGACAGTAGTCTCTATCAGGAATGCTGACCATGTAGTTCTATAGCGGATGCTGACAGATAGCTCCTATAACGAGACGCTGACAGTAGCCTATATAGGGATGCTGACAGTAGCTCTATAGGGACGCTGACAGTAGTTCTATAGGAATGCTGACAGTAGTTCTATAGGGATGCTGACAGTAGCTCTATGGAGACGTTGACAGTAGCTCTATAGAGACGCTGACAGTAGCTCTATAGGGACGCTGACAGTAGCTCTATAGGGACGCTGACAGTAGCTCTATAGAGACGCTGACAGTAGCTCTATAGGGACGCTGACAGTAGCTCTATAGGGACGTTGACAGTAGCTCTATAGGGACGCTGACAGTAGCTCTATAGGAACGCTGACAGTAGCTCTATAGGCACGCTGACAGTAGCTCTATAGGGACGCTGACAGTAGCTCTATAGAGACGCTGACAGTAGCTCTATAGGGACGCTGACAGTAGCTCTATAGAGACGCTGCCAGTAGCTGCCGTTACTCAAGTAAACGTTGCCGGGAGTTTCAGCACGGCATTCGCTGAATTCATAGATGTGTGAATCTGAATGTGTTAAGCGTCTGATCTGTGTTGGATGCGATAAGCGTCTTGTGAACTCGCCTCCTCCGGGCTTACATCGATCCTGTCTAATCGTCGGCGACGCGACAACAGCCGATCCGGGAATTTCTCCCGTTAGTTTTACAAATAAAGGAAATTAAAAGAAAATTGAACGTTTGCGGACGCCGTCTACGCCGTGTGCCTCACGCGCGGTGACAGGTATAAGCAGCGATGTCATCTCTCCCGTTGACACTCTGTGAGAAGTGGCGCGAAAGGTGTCCGCGCAAAAGTTCGAATTTAAAACTCGCGATGGTGATTGTTGAATTTGCGGGTTGCGGCGGCCGTCGGATCGTGTCAATCAATCACGTGCGCGCGTCATGTTGCCTCCCCCGCCGTCTGCCGAACACGGTACGCAGGAATGGACAGGAAATTGTTTGACGTCACGTGCGTCACGTTACAGCATGCGCGAGTTGTTGTTGATATTGATATTGATATCAACGCGTTTGAACTCGCGTTTCATGTTTGCATTAATTGTTGTTCCCTGAACGAACACCTGCCCATAGTGAACTGTGGAAATGTAAGTTTGCTTTTTAATTACTTTAGTTGCAGACAGACGAGACATGTGTCCGCGGGCGTGCGTGCTAGCGAGCGAGCGGGAGTGCGTGCGTGCGTGCGTGCATGCGTGCGTGCATCGACGGCAAGCACTGCAGCGCATGATTGGCGCCTACACTCCCGGCAAACACTTCGCCTCCCAACATGTTACATTAGCAACGCGAAAAAAACATTGCTTTTACGATTTTGCGTATCTTATTCCTCGAATTGGTGATGTTATATACCTATGTATCGACCGAAGAGGTAGGTAACAAAAATTATACGGACATACGAACATAATGGCAATAGCGAGAGTGCGAAATAACGTTATAGTAAAATTGATCATATCGTGGTGTGTGAATAGAACGCATCTTTTCCCGTATCTTTCTAAAGGCCATCGAACGAGAGAAGATTGGTCGCGGAATCGTTCGTTGCCCCGTATAATACAACAATATCGTTAGCTGCAATTACCCACCCACACCCCCGCACCCACCCGCTCGCGCAATACTCAGTTCCGAGATTGATATAATATAAGATGGACAATATATTATATCGGACGAGAAAACCATTTGCACGGGAAACGCACGGGACGACAGGAGGAGCGGCGAGGCGGAGAGGGAGGGGAGAGGAAGGAATGTCCAGCTGGGAATTAGAGAAAGATATTACGATCATTACCGGCATCGTAACAATGCCGGTGGGAATTAACGCGCTCATGCATTACGCAGAGTAATCAAGCTCAGACAGCAGCAGTAAGTAACTAACGTCAGCGCTATACAGACATCGGAGGGGCTGCCTCGCACCACGACCTCCCTCCATCCACATCAGTGACCGTTATCAGCGACACCTGTCGGAGCTATATGACAGGTAATGTCATAAGCGAGGCGTCCACTTATCGCTGATAATCGCGCAGAGGAACACATAAATTATGCAACGCGACGAGCGAGAGAGCTGCCCGGTGTTTTTTTCATGTAATGGATTCGTTCAGCGAATGCCGGCATTCCATTTGGTTAAAATAAAGTAGACATTTAGAACTGCGCCAAGACATTTCTGCGCACTGCACACATCTTTGCAGGGCGCTCTGTGCGCACAGCAGCTGTTAAAATCCCAGCGCCATGTCCAGCTGAAACTTACTCACTTACTTACTCACGCACTTAGAACGAATACGTGTAAAGCAGCGCCGAGTATACCTCCGTCGTCGCGACGTTTTCAAATGTATAGTTCAACGGCGATGTTGGCAGCCGACACTGCACTTCCCACCCCTGTCTACTCCTTGGAGTGTTCCTTAGGCAGTACCCCTGAGAGACGCGCTACCGGGAAGGCGATACTGCTACGTAGCTGAGGTCTGTAGTAGAGGATATCACGAGAGCAGTAAGAGTTGCGCAGGTTATTACGGGTTAACTGTAGCTGACTGTGCAAACGAGATGTAGTATATATACGAATATGTATATTAGAATATACAGCAGGACGCGTTTGCAACGTACCTAGAGAAATCGGAATAGCCCCAATTCTTAGATTTTCTATAGAATAAACTGCTAGCACGACCTCTGTTTCAGTTACACACTCACAACCACAAAAACGAACACAAGGTATCCATGATTATATCTAGCACTCTTATATTATGCTTACCCTTTACTTAATAATATATCTAACATATAAGAAATAGACATAAGACACCTAACCCGGTGTTCAGTAAATACTTGAATACAAAACTAGATTGATGACTCATACTTTTGCAAATAGCCGACTCGATTGCTGTAAATATTCACGCTTATATAAAAAACTATACGAGTTTAAATAACTGGGGAAATACAAAAATAAATCTGCTTAATAGCATGGAATGTGTAACAAACAGGAATTTACACAAAGCATAATTAAGGTTATTATCAAAGTACACATCCAAATGCGCAGTTAAGCACATACACAAGATTATGAAAAATATGATGTAATCCAATAATACGAACAGTAAACAAACATGGAACCATTGCCAAGTGATACAGAACGTTGCAGACAATGTATCATACAAGGCTGTAGAACAATGAATACACACATGAAACGCTGCAGACATTTATATAACACTAGTTGTCACACAGGCCATACAGTATCTCGACTTCGTGATCATCAGAGACATCTAGAGGCGTCTCCAGCACAAGCGGAATTCCATCAAACCGTGGGTCGTTCATAAGAAACTGAAATCCTGCAATCCCAATGTGACCTTTACCAATGTTCTCGTGCCGGTCGAGGTGACAGCCCAGGGCACCTGTATTAACAACAATGTTATCAACAAATGGCATGACAGGCAATGAGCGTTACTAGAGTAAGCTGAGAATATTGACACACTCACATACTACACAATTGGCAAACGTACAAACAAGATTAACCCCAAAAGCACTGAGAGTAAATGTGCCATCACAAATGACGCACCAACATTCAACAGTGAAATACAACGCAAATACGGAAATTCACAAGCACGATTATGATTTTGTCATCACGTGACGATGCGGATGCAGTCGTCAAATGCCTGCGCATTAAATTCCCACCAGTGAGGAATGCTAGAGGCACAGAAACCTGTGAGTCGGTGGCGTACGTTCCGGGAGAGAACGTCTGTCTCACCTTTGGAGTCGTTGAGGTGAACGGCCTTGAGGTAGTTCATCCCGATGACGACCTTGAACTCATTCATCATGGCTTCGTATCCCAGCTTCGTCGCAAGGTCATGACCTGCGGCGAACGCGTGACACGTGTCCAGGCACACGCCAATCCTAGATTGGTCCTCGACTTTGTCGATGATCGCCCGCAACTCCTCGAACCTGCCGCGTGGAAAAACGTCAGCGCGAGACTAGATAGTGCGACGCAGTAGCGATGGGATGTGGTGGCAAGAGACAGGCACGACACCACCTCGACGCATTTAGAGTGCCACACAACATGCTAGTATCCAGGAAAGCAAGAAGGCAGCAGGTCATGGGACCTGGCGCTAGGGAGTGGGCGGGACACTTTGGTGGGTATCGAGTGAGATGTCTCGGTGCATTTCGACTGCATTGTGACGAGTCGTTAGTTATGGGCGAGGCATCCAGTCGAGGTTAGAATGCCCGATGTACACATCGTTTGCTTTCATCTCGTAATGGAATTCATGACAGAGGGTGCATCCATAAATTGCGTTAATTCCCGGCACTGTCGCGATCGCCTATGTAGCAGTGCAATATAGCCAAGCTGATACTAGCAGAGGCATCGTGCATGCCACGACGACGGCATGACCTTGGACACTGCATTTCTGTATGTCACGAGGATTACTCTAGGATGTGCAATCAGATGTGCTCTCTGATAACAGTAAAAGATCAATAACCTCTGCAAAATTCTGATTCACAATTTTCATGGCATTCCACCGCATACCAATTAATCATCGACTTGTAAAGTAGCTTTTATGTGCTTAAGGTGCGAAATTAACGGGAGTCCGGAGTCAAATACCCCCTGCTTTACTGTCGGACTCCCTGATTTGACATATACAGGAGTCCGTGTGACTCCCTGAAAATTCTGCCATACTAACTAGTTCGTTCCAGAGAACGGCCTCGCTGAATTACTGTATTTTTTCAGCTAATGTCCAAAGAAAATTTGGCAGACGTGCAACTGCATGAATCTTAAAAATTAAGCACATGCGTTATTGGTAATATCTTTAATTTTGAACCTCAGACTGCGGACTCCCTCATTTTGCTGCGGACTCCCTCTTTTTGAGGGTAGAGAGTCCGTTGGACTCCCTTGTTCAAAAGTTAATTTCTATCCCTGGATATGGGACTGAGAATTGTTGTGGTGCTTTCTGACACACTGAGACTCAGGAATCTATCTATTAACTCATGAGGCCACACTCAAGCAATGTCTGGTTTGCAGTGAGCTCGACCCAGTCTTTTAGTTGAATGTAGGTATAGTTCCACAAGATTGTGCTTTTGCTGGTGGCTGTCAAGCAGTATAGTCATATACGTACAATCATGAACCTATGTATATTCCAACTAGTAAACAAGTTATTATTATATTACATAAATATTGTATAAATAAACAAATAGATATTTCATTATAAACATTTTTTTTCACAAATAGTCAGCATGGTTTGGACGAATTGGTTGGGCTTATACCAGACAAGAAATGCAAGGCCTGCCCCGTAACACTGTGCACGTCCTTGCCATTGCTGGTGTGTCCCTGATAAATGTATAACACATACTTCCCACCAATGGTATGTTCCTGACAACAAATATATAGTACATACTTGCCACCTATGCTTTGTTCCTGACAGCTAGTCTATAGTACATGCTTTATATATATAATTGCCATGGATGGTGTGTTCCTGACAGCTAGTATATAATACATACTTGCCACCGATAGTGTATTCCTGACAACAAGTGTATAATACATACTTGCCACCGATAGTGTGTTCCTGGCAACATTAGAATAATTCATACTTGCCACCGATAGTGTGTTTGTGACAGCTAGTGTATAGTACATATTTGCCACTGATGCAATGTTCCTGACAACACATGAATAACTCATACTTGCCACCGATGGTATGTTCATGACAACTAGTGTAATATACATACTTGCCACCTATAGTCTGTTCCTGACAGCTAGTGTATAATACATAGTTGCCATCGATGCTATGCTCCTGACAACACATGAATAATACATACTTGCCACCGATAGTGTGTTCCTGACAGCTAGGATATAGTACATACTTGCCACCGATGCTATGTTCCTGACAGCTAGTGTATAGTACATATAGTACATGCCTTATATATCAAATTGCCACTGATGGTGTGTCCCTGACAGCTAGTGTATAATACATACTTGCCACCGATGCTATGTTCCTGACAACACATGAATAATTCATATTTGCCACCTATATTGTGTTCCTGACAGCCAGATGAGACGGGATACAAGAGAAGTGTTGCCGAAAGGAGGTGTTGATTCTAACCGCTGAGCGCGGATCTTGCGCGCAGTTCCCCGGCAAGGCGCACACAACCGCGGGAACGTCGTACGACAGTATGCAGCGCTGGCAGCTATGGATCCGTGCGCCGAATGCATAGGCCGGCGCACGGATCCATAGCTGCCAGCAAACAGTCCGGAATTTTAGGGGGGACACAGAGGGCAGAGATTTGGGACGTGGGAGGAATTCGCGACGGGGGTCGTACAGATGGGGGGGGGCTAGAGCAAAGGTTTTGATTTCGCGGTGGTTTCATTTCCGTGTGGTCTTAGGCGTTTTCACTATAAGTTGTACAGCGCCCCATGGCGCCTGTCCTATGTAACACTTGATATATGAACATCAGAGAGATCACACCATGATTGCATGAAGAAATGGATGACGATGTTGTATGAGAGAGTATGCGCATTATGTGGCTATTCGTAACATCGAACTGATTCCTCTGCGTATTGCTCTGCTCTGTGCTGCTACAGAACGTCATGACAGCAGTACATATGTCGTGTTGAAGGGAACTGTCACACAACACCACCTAACCATCTACTTTATCCACCAACGAAACCAAACTCACAACTCGAACTGTGTTTTGTATATGGTGTTGGGGGTTAGTTGTATATATACTGCAGCAGTGAAAAAAATACACGGGGGCTCGGGGCGATTTAGCCCCGAAATGCCTAAAAGAGCCCCGGAAATGCCAAAAAGAGCCCCCGTAAATTTGCATAGAGTTCAATGCCAACAACATTTTAGAGTGCTATTTTCATGCACGCGAGCTTGAAAAGTAGCCCCCGAAAAATAATTTTTTTCCCTGTACTGCAGTATATATGCAGTGTCAATACTGATGCTTCCCATCGCACAGCACATCAGCCAGCTGTACATGAGCCGGCAAAGGCAAAGTCTGCTGAGGCAGTTACAAGTATAACACACAAAGAAACCATCGAACCATCAAGAACACGAGTGAACAGCGGTATTTCCTTACTGCTTATAAGGCTGGTGAGGTAAATGGAATGAACGGTTACAAATACATCGCAATATATGCTGTTATATGCTAGGACTCTATATGCTTTACATTGCACGGTCGTTCAATTGTCAGACATTGCGCGATGACATGCCCCACCAGGAAAATCAGGACACAGAAATAATGCATACGGAAGAATACCCAATACTTCATCATTCACTAACCGCATACTTCAGCACCCGCGAAATGGTCGGTTCAAGGATAGAGATCATGGGTCCCATTGAGACCTATGTCATTTTCGTAAATGTGGGGGTAGCCCCTTTAAAATCGACAGGGGTGCTGTTGAGGGTGTTCTTTGTTCATTTCGACCGACAAACATGTGAGTTAACAGAGTGTCGAAAAAAATGCGTTGAAGCGACATTACTCGCCCGTTTTTGACTGTTTCTGACCATTGCGACGCGCGAGAATTTCCCGTCACCTTCCTCTGCTACGGCCCTGAAATCTATGTGCGTATTTGCGCGTGCCATTTACGGACTCGTATTACTTTCTCTCCGAAATAAATTACCTGGAAATCCGTTGATATTCCGTCTTTTTTTGGGAACTCATAAATCTGAGTGTACGAACGTCGAACGGGCGCTGGATAGAGTTTGGGGGGTTATAGTTAGACTGGTACCCATTCGCCACCTTCACTCGGGCAAGTATCCTTCGCTACACTGAAGTTAGTGTAGCGTGTGGAACTGTCGACCGGGTACCAGTCTAGGTTATAGCCGGCCGAGCCGTCTGCAGGAAAGTGCTAGGCAAATGCTATGCATATAGCCTCGTTGCGCCATCTATTGCACGTTATATGTACTACACTGATATGGGGGCCTGAACTAGTCGCTGGCACAAAAAAGTTCAACTCCGTTTTTTACAGCAAACCAAGCGCGCCTAGTAGCGAACCAAGAATTACGACCATTTCTAGAAAATCTCTAGCTACGTGGGTAGTCAAACCCGTCGTGCAATCGCCAGAACTGCTCAATTCAGCGATTGCCCCACAATTACGCTATATAGTAAACCCGTTGAAATTTCTATTCAATGAGTGCAGCGTTGTTGTGTTAGTGTGCCGCTACACAGCGTTTTTCGCGCTTCGCGCGATATCCGGGCTGCCGATCGTCTAGGGTATAGTACCTACTTGCCACCGATGGTGTGTCCCTGACAGCTAGTGTATAATACATACTT